ACATGCCGAAAAGTAAATGCGTGGTCGAGACAACCAAGATCACGGTGGAAACCAGCCTGGCTTTCAGCGATACGGTAATCAAGCAATCAACAACAGCATTACATCAGTCATTTGAACTGACGTTCCACTGCCATACAACCATGATGACCAATAGAATAAAGAATAATAAGAGGGAAATAAAGGCTTACCTGAAAACCTTAATGCTTTAAGCTAAGGTTTATGGTCAAGGCGCCTGCACCTTGTGTTAACAACATACCGTTACAAACAGCTGGCGTGCAAAGATAAGACGGCATCGGTGAGACAGATTCCCTGCGGCCTTCACTGCCCCGCGTCATAATTAGCCATTACCCCGCAGATAACTCAGCACGAAACACAGGCAGTCCGGCTAGGAGATGGCAGCAGACGCGCCACTGGTGTCGACTGCGAGCCATGTCCTGTAAAGTCTCGAGCCAAGCACAAGGCGGGTCACGTGGACTCAAGCCCGGAAGGCGAGAAGGACCAACGGCACCCAGGTTGGTCGTCAGTGACTTCATTTCCGCTACCAAGTCAACTTCTGTCCACCTCCAGCCTTGCGCCACCCTACACCTGGCAGACTAAACAAGGCCCTCCTAGATAAGCGGTGACCAGGCATACGTAGCACGTGCCCGAGCCAACGCAACTTATTCAGTGCTATCTGTTGTTCTAGGGAGCTGGTATGTTTATCACTACCTAGTACTCGCCTACGCACATCATCGTTGCGGACATGCTGGTGCCATCCGACACCAGCGATGCTTCGTAGACAACGATGATCAAGGTTTTGAAGGCGCTTCAGATCTTCAGACCGAAGGGGCCAAGTTTCACTACCATAGAGAAGGACGGCCCTCACTGTGGCCTTGTATACGCGGCCTTTCACACGGAGCGAAACTCCCTTCTGTCACCAAAAATGCCGCAGGTTCAAGAAGGCAGTTCTGGCCTTTGCAGTGTGTGAAACTGACTTCAGTTTCCATGCGCCCATCGTTGCTAATGCAACTGCCAAGGTAAGTGAATTGATCAACCACTTCGAGTTCATCGTTAGCAAGAGTCAAGAGGCCATCGAGTGACTGGTGGTCCTGCAGCAATACTTTGCACTTTGAAGGTGCGAAGCGCATACCACTCTAGACAGGCTAAACAGGGCTGATTGTGCCGCCGTAACACCGTCGGAAAGCTAGACGATATCGTCAGCATAATAAAGATCAACCAACGTTGTGCCAGTTCAACGCTTACAGCGTTGGATTCCGCAAGGGAACACTCCATGATAGAATCCACAACGAAATTGAACAAAGATGGGGAAATCGGACAACCCCAACGAACGCCACTTGTGGTCGGAAAGCTATCCGACAGGTCACCGTAGACCCTGACGCGACCTGTAGTATTCGAGTATAGAGCCCGTAGCAACACCCGCGCAAGTATTTCGAACAGAATGGATCGGTCGACTGAATCGAACGCATACCTGAAATCGAGGAACACAGCTATGGTCAGTCTGCGGTATGCGTGGCACTGCTCTAGCAGCTGCCGCAGAGTGAATATATGGTCTATACAGCCACGCCCTAAACGGAAACCGGCCTGCTCTTCCCTAATCCGAGATTTCCGTTCCACACTGAGGCGACGAACGAGAATCGAGGCAAGTAACTTTGTCACAACTGGATTTAGGCTAATACCCCTGTGGTTAGAACAGTCTGTGCGACTGCCCTTCTTGTATGTTACCACTATAATCGATTCACCCCAGTTAGCCGGGACCCTTCCAGATACGTTCGAATAGGGAGGTCAGTGCTTTGTAGAGGACCTCACCTCCATCCTTAAATAGTGCAGGTGGGAGGGAATCCGGGCCAGCGGCACGAAAACGATTGAGGGCTGTGATCGCGTTTCGGACCTCCGCTTTCGACGGAGG